GAGTGTGGGCCGGGGGCCCAATGCCCGGGTTCCGGTAGGAGAACAAAAGCTGGAGACTGGGTCAGTCTGCAGGCTGCATGACAACAAGGGAGGGGGTGACTCCATTCATAACTCAGGAACCAACTGTCCCTCCTCCCCTCCTGCCAGGGCTGGCACAAGGTTCTCCTGCCCCTGCGTCTAGGATTGGGCTGCTGCCCCCTTGTCAGCCTCTCACCAAGGATTATGGGATTTAAATGTCTGATTTAGCAAGCCTGAGCCTCCGGGTTGGCCATCTGCTCCAGGGGAAAGGGGCAGGATACCTGGGTTCCCAAGGGGAGAGAGGGTGGGTGTTATTGGATGAGGAGAAAGAGCAGAGGGAGGCCTGCCAGCTAGGGTCCCTGGCAAGTGGGGGCGGCTAAGGTGAGGGCTGGGATGTGGGGCTGGGGCCTTCCCAGCATCCCCTCATCCTGGGCCTCATGCCAGGCAGTTGAATGAATTGAAGCTTTAAACTCTGCCAGGAAAACCTCTCAAAGGGTTTCTTGGGGTAGGGAGGAGAGTGGAGGTTGGGGAGCTCAGCAACCCCCTGCCCGTCCTGTTCCTCAGTGCCACCGGCTCCCAGGGAGGGGGGCTGGGGCCAAGCTCTCCCCATCACCCACTGCTGCCTGAGCCAATGCTTAGAGAGATGGCCAGACAGTGGGGACATGACTTGTCCTGCCTCCTCCTTGGGGGTGGAGGGAAGGGTTCTAAGGGCCAGAGAGGCTTCTGGGGCCAGTGTCCTCTCAGCCTACCAGTCAAGCTTGAAGTGCCCATAGGAGTCCCTTGGCTTGCCCTGAGGATCCCAGATGGCTTGTGAAGACACCAGCCTCCCTGACCTCAAAACCACTTTTTTTCTCTTTCTTGCTGAGGAATGCCAAGCACTCTCCCCAGGAGACCTGGAACCACCTCTTTCAGAGACCTTTAACTTCACCTTCTCTCCCCACCCACCAGGCCACTGGCAAACCGGAGCTCTTGAAATTCATTCCTTCTCAGTTCTGTAGATGGGGTCACCTTGAAGCTCCCTTTCTGACCAGTGTCCAGCAGCCCTCTACTCTCACATTTCCCTAGACTGTGTCCCTAGCTCTGTTTTCCTTTCTGCTATACTTCAGAAAGCAGATCCATTCTGGCTCTGCTGATCCCTTCTCTGTGAGCTGATAGATCACTGGACTGAGAATTATGAGGCCTGGGTTTTCCAGCCAGCTCAGTTATGAGCTGTGTAATTTTAATGAGTCCCTAACCTCTCTGGTCCCACCTGCTTACTTCCTTCCCTCTAGTGTGTTCATTCACTTGTCCATCCAGTCAGCAGGTATACCCTGGTGCCTTACTCTGTACTCAGCACTGTTCTATGCCCTGGGGTCCCATGGCAGACTTGGCTCCTGCCCTCAGGCTCAAAGAACTCAAGCCTTGCCCCACTGAGGTTTGGAATAATTCTAAAAACGTATCTTCCTGATTTCAGGAACATAAGGTCCCCAGATGTAAGACCCAGCAAAAGTTGTAATCTGAGGGAAATGTATAGCCATAAGTGCTTTCATTATTTTAAAGAAATATTATTGGGGCCGACCCTGTGGCCAAGTGGTTAAGTTCGTATACTCTGCTTTGGCGGCTTGGCGGCCCAGGGTTTCGCTGGTTCAGATCCTGGGCGTGGATATGGCACCACTCATCAGGTCATGCTGAGGCAGCATCCCACAAGCCACAACTAGAAGGACCCACAACTAAAATATACAACTATGTACTGAGGGGATTTGGAGAGAAAAAGCAGAAAAGAAAAGAAATATTAAAAAGAAAACAAAGCAATCTAGCATGCATACTAAAAATTAAAGATATAAATTCTTGAAAGAGAAAGCAAACTTAGTTGAAAGGATAAATCCAAAAGCAGGAGCTTAAAAAAAAAAAAGGTACATTTAAAAAAGAGAAAAGAAAAACTCAAGCACTTGATTGAGGAAAAAAAGAGCAAGAACCAAATGGTCCAATGTTACTTAAACTATTCTGGGCCATTGGAAAAGAGTGAAATTTCCAATTTGTGTAAGATTATTGTAATTTTGTTAATCTTAAAAACCTGGTAAAAATACTAAAAAAACCTAGAAGCCAAGTTAATTTACATAGATGCAAAATCTCAAAATAGTATCCAAATACATTGATGAATCAAAAATGTGAACAGTAAAACCAAGTAGGGTTTATTCCAGATGGCTTCATAGCAGAGTCTCTATCAACATAATTCATTACATTAACAAATTAAGGAAGGAAAATATGATCATATCAACAGATGCTGAAAGGAATTTGATTAAATTTCAGCAGACATTCCTTAAGAACAAAAATCTTAATTAAAACAGTAATGGAATACCAGTAAGTATCCTAATGGTTAAACACTAAGATAATTTCAATTAAAATAAAAAACTATACAGGGATGCTCACTAACTGGTTTTAGGACATTAAAGAGGATCAAAAAAAAGAAAGGGCCGGCCCAGTGACGGAGTAGTTAAGTTCATGCACTCTGCTTCAGCAGTCCAGGGTTCGTGGGTTCAGATCCCAGGCACAGACCTACACACCACTCAGCGAGCCATGCTGTGGCGGTGTCTCACATATAAAATAGAGGAAGACTGGCACAGATGTTAGCTCAGCAACAATCTTCCTCAAGGAAAAAGAAAGATTGGCAACAGATGTTAGCTCAGGGCCAATCTTCCTTACCAAAAAAAAAAGAAGAAGAAGAAGAAGAAAACAAAGCACTGGCAAAAATAAAAATAAAAAAATTTCTTTACCTTTTAGATCCTGTAATTATGTACCTAAAAACTCAAGAGACATAATAGAGATCTGATGGAATTAAGATAATTTAGTAAGGTAGAGGAATAGTAAATATTTTTATCTTCTAGCAAAAGCACTGAGAAAAAAAGAATGAAAAAATATTCCATTCAAAATAATAACAAAAACAATAAGATATTTAGGAATAAGTTTAATAAAAGTGGCACACAAAAAAATAAAAGGATGGGGGCTGGCCCAGTGGCCCAGCAGTTAAGTCCGCACGTTCCGCTTCTTGGCGGCCCAGGGTTTGCCGGTTCAGATCCCGGATGCGGACATGGCACCCCTTGGCAAGCCATGCTGTGGTAGGCGTCCCAAGTATAAAGTAGAGGAAGATGGGCATGGATGTTAGCTCAGGGCCAGTCTTCCTCAGCAAAAAGAGGAGGATTGGCAGCAGTTAGCTCAGGGCTAATCTTCCTCAAAAAAATAAATAAATAAAAGGATGCTACAGAACTTATATGAAGAAACCTACCAAACCTTATTTAAGGACAGAAACCAAGCTCCAAACAAAAGGAAAGATAACATGTTCTCAGATGGGGAAACTTAATAGCCTAAAAAAGGGTCAATTCTCCTGAAATAGAGGATAAATTTATATAAATTTATAAGTGAGAATAACTACCCAAGAATAGTCAATGTTTGTTTAAAAAAATGAACAGTGAGGGAACCTGCCTGCCCTGCTAGATATCAGAAAACATACTATAAAACTACTGGGGTCGGACTGAAACAGCTTGGTGTATGGAATGGTAAACAAGCCAGGCCAGCAAGTACTGAACCCAGAAGCAGAGCTCAGCATGAAGGAAAATGTATTATAAGGCCGAAGTTGGCATTTCAATTCAATGGGAATAAATCACGGATCTTTTAAAAATAAAATGAAGCTGACACAACTGGAAAAATAAAATAAAACTGGACTCCTAATTTACACCACACGCAAAAAGAAACAAAAACAAACCAGATGAAGTGTAATGAAATTAAAATCCTGGCCCCCCCAAAAAAATCTAGAAAATATAAGCATACTCTAGGGACTGGAAACCTAGAAACTACGAAAGAACAACTAAGTATGGCTGACTATCTGAAAACCCAACATTTTTTAACAGCAAAAGAAACCACAAACTCCAGAGGCAAGAAATCAATTGAGGGGAATTCTGCAGTGCAGAAAACAGTTTCTATCCACAACTATCAAGGAGCTCTAACAAATTCATAAGGGAAGAATGACCCAAAAGAAAAAACATTATGCAGCCATTTAAAAAGTGAATTAGAGCTCTACCAGGTGAAGTAGTGATACAAGAAATTGAATGAAAAAAGGGAGATGCACAAGTGTATAGTATGATCCAATTTTGGTGTAAGAATGACCAAAACCCAGTGATTCATGTGTGTGTACTACACATTCATGATAAAATTGTCTATATACGTAAGCATATGTAATAAAGCTATTTTTCAAGGCAAATACTAAGACCAACTCATTGCAAACAAAAACAAATAAACCTCGAGAAGAAAATAAAAATTAGCTATAAACCCATCCCCTCCCCCATATACCACAATAAACATTGTATAGACTCATCTGTCCTTTTTTTCTATGGTTCTGTGTGTATTTTGTTTTACACAAAATCAGGATCATAAGGTTCATATTGTTTTGAGATCTATGTTTCTTTATCAGCTTTTCTCATCTATCTGTTCTCTCTCCCCAAACTGCCCCATCCTTCAAGCGTCTATGAAAGCTCCCTTTGGAAGCCCCCAACAGAAAGTGGTTGACCACTCTGATTAGTCCTCACCAGCTTTCACCCCTTCATTGAAGCACGTTTAGGTCTACCTGGTATGAGAGTTTCTCATGTGCTCCTCACCTCTCCCGTTAAAGTGGGGAGCTTCTTGGGGGCAGGAACTGTGCCTCTTTCATAAGTATCCTCATGGTGCCTAGAATGCACATTATAGGCACTTTATAAGTATCACTGTAGAAAGGAATATAGGCTTCCTGCCTCTCTTGTGAGTGATCTCAAGACAGTACGGGTGAAGGAACAGTCTAGGGGGTAGATGCTTGGGTGCTGGACAGAAGAGGTCAAAGCTAGGGAGCGGCCCCCAAGGCCTGGGTAACCCCTGGTTCACCCAAATCCACCTCCACCCGCTTCCCAGGGCTCTTCCAAATGCTCAGAAAGGAATAACCTGCACGCAGGGCTCCATTTATGATATATATTTATATATATAATTGCTCTCATTTTATTGTACTTTATCCTCTTTTTACAGTAGATCTGACACAGGCATTAAATAACTGCAGAGAGAGACCACCGGGGTGAGGGGAGTGCAGGGACACAGGGGACCTGAAGGGAAGAGACTCAGATCCAGCAGAGAAAAAAGGGAAGGGTCCATCTGTGGGGGGTGGGGTGTGGAGGCTGCAGCATCAAAAAAGAGATGGGAGAGATGAAAGAGTGAGGAAGAGAAGGGACACCGGAGCAGAAAGAGTTAAAATGCCTCTATAACTCAAGAACCCAGGAGGTCACTCATGTAACATTCTATGGGCACTATGGGGTTGTTTAAAAAGGCAAAGGGATCTGAAGGAGCCAAGAAACTCAGAGGCTAGATTGAGGGGTATTTGCAACTTTCAGGCTGACATGCGGAGGAAAGAGGAGTTAGTGATTAGTTGATAACTTGCTAAGAAAAGCCAGAGAGAGGATGGTGGGGACAGATGTGGGCGCAGGGGAAGGAGGTGGAATAGTCCCATAGCCAGCTGAGGTTTCTAAGGTGGCCACTGGGGACCGAGCCAAAATGGCTTCCCCTCCCCCAGGGCTCCTGGGAAGTGGAATTTGAAGGATATTCTGGGAAAGCCAACAAAGGGAAGGGAGCCATCGGCAAAAACAAAGTGGATACTCAGTCTAGGTCAACCCCACTCCCCTGAGGAGTGCTTATTTGGGTGACAGGAGGGACCAGGAAGAAAATTTTGAAGAACTGACACAGACTTCTCTTCCAGACCCTCATTCGCAGCTCACACAATCACCACAGAGTGAGAAGCTGAATGTGCCAAGAAATAGGGAAAAGGCCACAGAGCCACCTTGTCCTCAATTACGAACGAGCGAATAGGGATGGAAAGGAGGTGGGGACAGACCTGCCAGGGGAGCCAGGTAAGTCAAAAGCCACCAAGACAGCAACTGTAGACGAGGCTGCACTTGGGATCAGAAGAGTGGATGCCACATTCGTGTCTGGAAGCTAAGGGGTGAAATGAGATGTGTGTAGGTGGGTGGGTGTGAAGGTGAGTGAGTGTGAGGGTGGGTGAGTGTGAAGGTGGGTGAGTGTGAAGGTGAGTGAGTGTGAGGGTGGATGAGTATGAAGGTGGGTGAGTGTGAAGGTGAGTGGATGAGAAGGTGGATGGGTGCGTGTGAGGGTGAGCGAGTGTGAAGGTGGGTGGGTAGGCTTTTTCTATAGCTCTCAGGGGATAGGAGGGCAGGAGAGGTGGGTAGCTGTGGAAACATCCCACTCACAGCCAAGCTGGAACCAGAACAGCTCTTAACTCCTTTGTGACCATCTTGGGACTCCATCTCCCTGTCTCTACTGAGCTAGGGTCGGGAGAAGATGGTGGAAAATACATGTAGGCAGAGAATCACAATGGACACCAGGCTGGGTTTAGAAGTAAAGGAAAGGATGTGAGGCTCAGACCAGTCATAGCTCTGTTATAAAAAATACCTTTGGGGTGGGTGAGGGAGGGATCAGGCAGGTTCAGGGACATTCCAGAAGCATCCATAGGAAAGAGGTGGGGGCAGGAGAAAGGGATCTCAGGTTTTGTTGATGCGAAGTTTGAAGGCCACTCGGCCGGCAAACTTGTCTCGCTCATCATCTGTGGCGATGTTGGCCGCGTTGATGCGGCATTCCACGTTCACCTCCACGTTAGGGGTCACATTCAGGAACTTCACGGCCACCAGGGGCTGCGTGTAGTTCACCTGGGCCAGAGGAGGAGAGCAAGGGTCCAGGCCCATGGCAACTCGGCCTCCTCCCCAAGGACCCCACTCCCCTCGAGGAGCCATCACCCCCGGCCTCCCACAGGACTTACATGGAACTTTTTGCCGTAGTAGGGGAAGTACATGAGGTCGATGTTGCCATTGGCAGGGAACATGACAAAGCTGCCGAGATTCTCAGCATCTTCATCTCGCTGTGGAGGTGCAGGAGGGTAGGGAGGAGGGCATGTTAGGGATGGCAGGAACCCAAAAGCTCACCAGACTTCCTTTGTTCTTCTTTCGCCCCAAATTATTCTGTCTCAAATCTGTTTCCCTTGAGCTGTGAGTCTGTGTGTGTGTTTGCCTATGTGCAGGAGGGGTGTCCTGCCTCTTTCATCAGACTGGGAAGTCCTGAAGGGTGCTAATGGTCCCGAAGCCTCCTGCTCCACTCCCACCCCAAGTTCTTACCCCATCCTCAGGAATCGGTTTCTGGAGCAGAGCCAAGAGAGAACAGATAAATGAGTAAGAGCTCAGTAGGAAGGAAGGAGGGGGATGATTGAAGAGGGGCAGGAAGTTTCTAGAGGGGACAGAGGTGGAGGGAGCAGGGTTCCAAGGACAACTTAGTGGTGGCAGACGGTGCTAACAATCAACAGCTACCAGAGACCTAAGAAGAACTGAGAGGTAAGTGAGATATGGGAGGGAGAGCAAAAGACATGGTTATCAGGGAATAGAGGAGAAGGTAGGGTTAGAGAGAGAAGCCAGGAGGGCAGGGCTGGGGTGGAGTCAGGGAAGGGGGTGTCTATCCACCTAAGAGCAGGCTTCTGCATCCTAGAGAGAAGCAAGAGGAGTGGGAGCCCCTTGGAGCCAGAGCCACGTTAGAGTCCACTCTTACCCCCTGGTCCCTATAGTGACGGGGCCTCTGGGAGCAAAGAAGATTGGGAGAGATGAGTGAATAACACGGAAACCATGATGGACAAACAGGTGGGCAAGGAGAAAGGTCCAACAAACTCACCTTCCCCACACAGGTGACATTCATGCTCTGGTTTGCTCCTGCATAGAAGTTGATGACCTGGAGTGAAAAGAGAGAGTGATGAGAGTTAAAAAAAGAAGTGGTCAAAGACACAAGTATCCAGCCTTCCACCCATAGATCTCAACTTCCAATGGCCCCATCTCTCTTGTTCTTTCAGCTACTCAAACATCCAAAAATCTCTCTAATGCCCATTAGCCCCAGTAAAAGGAAGCAACTGTCAGCAGATGGTGGCCTGAGCTCCCTCCTCCCTGCTCCCTGGGGACCAAGGACATGGATACCCGGTTCATCTTGATGAAGACACAGGGCTGCCCAGTGCTGTAACCATAGTGGGTGGGATCCCCAATGCCGGAGCAGTCACCCAGCTGGGTCCGGTTGAATTGGCAGGCACGTTTCGGATAGTTGAGGACTCCGTTATCTGGTTGTTCGTAATAGCGCCCAGGGCGGCAGACATCATTCTTTTGGGCTTGGATGGAGTCGTTGTAAGCTAAGGAGGTGGGGGAGAGAGAGTCACGGGCCTGATGTTCTGCTTCCAAGGGTTCCAATCCCCTGCTCAAGGTCCTGCACAGCCACATCGACAGCCCCACACTCACGCTCCAAGAACTTGTTGAGCTTCTGAACATGCTGGTCCCAGCTTTCAGTGTCACTGACGTTGACAATGACATCCAGGTTCTCAGTCTTGGGGCGAATCATCAAGCCTATAACCAACAAGGGCGGGAGTCAGGGTTATGTATAAGATGGGGGATCACAAACAGAAGGAAGAAGACAGGGAACACCACAGTGAGGGATGGTGTGAAGATCTAAGATCCTCTTTACGGCAGGAAAGCTCCTGTGAACATGTGCCACCTCCCCAGATCACGTAGCTCTCAGCTGCGCGAGATGAGAAGGAAAGCAGACTTCAAGAAGAACTTCCCAGCACATGGTGCCTGGATGATCAGAGAAGCACACCTCTGAAAAAAGCTCTGAGTTCTCAGCCTGTAGGTTCCTTTTGGAGGCTTGCGGGCACAAGAGCAGTCAGAGTGGCTGGGAGAGGAGCCTCGTCACTCACCTGGTGTGGCCAGTCGGTCCTGGTACTTGGGGGTATGGTCAGAGACAGTCTGCAGCATTACCCACATGGTGAGAGTGAACATGGCCGTGAGGAAGCCATAGAAGACGAGGTAGAAGAGGAGGATAAAGGCTAGGGAGGAGGAAACAGGGTCAGCAGGCTCCCAGTCTCCCACGATGATGTCACCTATCCCCACACACCCCTCTCCCACTCAGAGGTTCTGCACCGGGACAGGTCACAGAGCCTCGGGGACATCTTAGAGCCTTCTCCTGGGAGCAAAAAGAGACAGGCAGTTGTGTCTGGCTTCCAGCCATCACTCCCAGCCCCCTCCCGGTCCTAGGGCACAGTGAAGCCCGACCTCGTGGAGGCCTCAAGAGACCTAAACTCCTGTTGCTGGGACAACCCTAAGTATAGGCCGCAGTCATTTTGCCTCAGATTACATTTCCAACTTCTCAACCATTCATGGCCCTGAAAAGGCACAACATCTGTTACCGCTGTACTGGAACTCACGCTTAAAGCTGTCCAGCACCACGACTTTTTAACCTGGCACTGGCCACCATTCACAACCAAACTCTCTTCCCATTCCTCAGAGCTTGGATCCTCATGCTCAAATAGCAAAACCTTCTCTCTCCTGGCGACCCCACAGAAGCCAAACCTTGAATGCAGCTCCTGCCTACCTACAAAATCTCTCAGAGACAGCTGTCCAGAACCTTCAACAGTCACCCCACCCCCAACTTACACACAGCACCCAGGGCATGAGGTGAGGAATAAAGGACTCTCCCACAGCCTTCCGGGAAGACAGCAGGTCCTTGGTGGATGTGACACACCACTTCATCACTCCTCAGCCTGCTCTGAGTGTGTGCTGTTCCACCACCCAGGACCCCTAGTCCTTCCATCTCACAGGGCACTTCCCCCATGAAGCCTCTTCAGATTCCCCCGAGCAATCACAGACCCCTCCAATCCCAGGGGCTGGACTTGGAGTTCCCTGAGGGCAAGGACTGCCCTGGACACACCTCAAGGTCCCCAGATGGGTTAGTTGATGGGGACAGTGTTCATTCAGTGTGGATAAGTTGTAAATTGTGTCACACAGTCCCTTGTGCTTCGACTTCCCAGCCTGACAATCCCTTTTGGAAGAATTCCACCCCTCACCTGCACCCATGCCCAGCACCAGACCCTCGACCAGACACAACTCCTTCTACACCCCATGAATCCTGCCACAGCGTGGGTGGGGAAGATCCCAAGCCACCCCAACCCCACAGACACACTGGGCCAAATGATGTACACATCTCACCGCTAGTGATCACTCTTCCCTCTGCCTGCGACATCTGAGCCGAACATCTAGCCTCGGAAAAAACTCACAGTGTCACCCCTCCCCAACAGTGCCCCCCGCCCCCAAAGCAGCCACAGAAGGCTCCAAACGTTGGGCAGCGGGATACAGACAACTTCCGCTGTGAAGAAGAACCCCCCCTCTCCAACACACACCCCAACCTCTCCAAGACCCGCCCCCTCATGAATGTTCCCAGGGTCGGGGGAGGGCGGGGGGGGGGCGAGCTAAAAATAGATGGGCTCGACTAGCTAGTGAGGGCTGGAAGAAGGGAAGGGGCGCTCTTCTGGAGAAGGGGGGCAACCGTGTGCAGCGGACCTGTCCCGACAGGGAGCGCGAGCGCCGCGGCGCGGACACGCGCGCAGAGCCCGCGACCCCCCGCGCGAGGGGGCTCCGCAGGGGGCGGGAAAATGGCAGTGACCTACTTTCTCCGCCTCCGCAGCGGCCAGCCAGGGAGATTAGACCGGCGATTCGGCCCCCTCCCAGCCCAGAGCCCGGCAGGGGGGCCGGACGCCGGGGACCGGGAAGAGAGCTGAGGCTGAGCTGGTGGGACCTCGTCTCCCCGGGGCATCGCCCAGCGGACCCCCCAGCCCCTCGCGCGGCCGGCCCCGCGTACCCCAGCTGGTCCCAGTGCGGCCCATGAACTGGTGCGTCCTCGGGTTCCACACGAACTCCTTCCACTCCTCAACCACCTGCCCACAGCTCTTCTTCTCTTTCTGGATGACCATCTTGACGACGGGGGGCGAGTCCCGCGCAGGGCTGGGGGCTGCGGCGAAGCTGGGGTGCGGTGCGCTGAAGCCCCCCCCCCCCACGCACTGGAATGCGAAGGGAGCAAAGGCAGCAGGGGCGAAGGAGAACCCCCCCTTAGATATGCAGCTGCTGCAAATTCCGGGGAGCACAGCCACGCGCTGCGCGGTGCTGGCAGCGCGGCGTAGGGTGCACTGATCCTAGGCCCCCCCGACTGCGAGGAAAAGGGAGGCTGTCAGAGCAGGAGAGGAAAAAAGAGGAAGGGGTGCGAATGCAGCTTCACCCCCGCCCAAACCTCCTAAAAGCAAAAAAAAAAAAAAAAAAAAGAGGATGCAAAAATAGACGGCTGCAAAACCCAAGCGAAACGCAGAAAAATTAGGGTGCAATAAGCAGGGAGGGGTGGGGGAGGGGGTCGCCCCGAAATCCGAGATGCAAAGAGGCTGTGGAGAGGGGTCGGGTGACCGTTTAAGGCCCTTCCGCCAAGCCAGAGACCGCCCCACCAGTGGTGGCTCAGCCGCGGGGGTGGGGCGGGGACGCGCAGTTGGGGGACAGCCAGGGACTGGGGTCCCCGAGGCGGAGGCTCCGCTTCTCAGCAGTGCGGGTTCGGCGGTCGCGGCGCGCAGTCTTTATACTCAGCGGCTCTGGGGGTACCCGCCCCCTTCCCACCCCCAGAAACCCCGCCTCCTCGCCGCTGGCCCGGGCGACCTCATACATATGCAAATATGGAGACGGGGATTGGCCCCGCCCCCCACCGCCTCTTCTGAACTAGGAGGTCTCTCCCCTACCGCGACCCCAGGTGCTGGACTGGATCAGGATGCGTGGAGGGAATAGAGGGCGTGTCAGGGCTGAAGAAGGGGAAAGATAAGCCCAGAAAGACACTGAGACGGAGAGGGAAGCAGATAAATGCTGAGATGGGGGCTCCAGGCAGGGAGTTAAAAAGAGACTAAGATCCAGGAGACAGACAGGGCAGAATGTGAGAGGAATAGAAAAAGAGCTTGGGACCAAGAAAAACAGATCAAAGAGACCAGCCAGGGTGGAAGCTAGAACAGGCCACATAGAGATGGATAAAGGCCACCACAGTCGGGAAATTCCACTTGTGGGAGCTGCTACCAGTCCCCCCAGCACCTTCTTTAGTCCCACAGCCCCTTCTCCCATCACCTGGTTTTCTCCAAGCCTAGGGACTTCCTGGTCTTCCCACCACATCCCTCAGTGAAGCCATCCCACACCACATTCCCAACCCCCAGCATTGCACTGAGACCTCAGCCCTGGAGCCAGGTCAGCTTGGGTGCTCTGTGCCCTCCCACCCCCATGTCTGAACTCCCTTCCTCATCTGCCCATTTGGGTCGACAACCATTTATTGAGCACCTACCAGAGACTTTGTGCAGCTCTAGCCCTGGAGAGGTAAAGTCGCAGTTCTCAAGAGACCCACAGTCTAGGAGGGGGTACCAGAGCCTCTAAAGATCTCATATGAAGAATCATCTATCTCATTTCATCTGCCTCCAAATCTCGTCACTTTTCCTCGGAGAGGTTTTTCTTCTCCTTTCAACTCTCACGGTAAGTCTTTGGCTCTAGTCCTCAACAACTTCCATGTTGACTCTCACCCTCCCCCTCAAACTCCCTCCCTCCAGTCCAGGGCCAGCTTCATTGACTTGGGATATGCTCAGTTGAACAAGGCCGGTGCTCAGAATGGCCTTGTGCTGGGTTTGGCGCTCTACTGTCACCATCTTAAAATTCTTAATAATTTTGTCTTTGAACCTGTGCTTTGAAGTGAAGTCCAATGGGACAATGGAGCATGCATGTGAGTAGAGAAGATGCACACAATAGGCTATTGGTGATGCTCCAAGCACAGAACTCCAGTGGACCCACCATGCGTGGGAGCTCAGTGAGACTCAAAGTGAGTACAAGGTAAGTGTGTTATGTCTACACCTGAATAAGTGAGGGTGCTGACAGCTGAGAGGCCACACTTGCTATTTGAAGCAGAACTTGCTTTGAACATAGACATGAGGCAATGGCCTTCTAGGAAACAAGATGATCGAGGCATCCTGCCATATCCTTTCTTAGTCATGTTACTTCCCCGATTCAGTCACCCACTTCTGCTAGCAGTGATGACATAGAAGGAAATGGAAAGCTGAGGCAACCCATAATTCTCTTCCTTTCAGACCTTCTGTACTCATCAGTAAGCTGAAGGTAGAAAAATGTTAATTTTTCTTTATTTAGAACAATACTAAATAGCAAATAAGAAATACCATGACAAGTTAAGAGAAGAACCGTGGAAGATAGGAACACATTTAGTATTGTAGTACCTTGAATAGCACTCCTTTCCCTGCTTTTTGAACAAAGGATCCTACAATTTCATTTTGCACTGAGTCCTGCAAGTTATGCAGGTGGCTCTGCTTCACTCCCTTCTGCAGCAGACTCTGGATGAATTTCCTCAAAGTACAGTTTTAATTAGGCCACTCCTCAGCTCAAAGGGCTTCAATGGCTCCCCGTCACCTTACAGGATGGAGTCCTGATTCTTCAGTCCAACCTTCAGTGTACTCCACAATCTAGACCCAGCCTGGATCCCCAACCTCCTTTCCCACTAGGCCCTGACTAGTCTTCCCCTGGAGCTGAGCCGGCCACTCCTGGGACAGGCCGTGCTTACTCCTGACTTCACACCTCTGTCCATTTCATTTCCTCATCCTAGAAGACTGCCCACCCCTCAGAGTCCAGCCCCAACTCCTATTCATTCATTCAATGTGTTATCTAATGAGTATTTACTTAGAGCCAGGTGCTATTCTGGTCCCTGTGCTCCTGGGACTCCCTTTCTAATCAAAAATAAAAACCAGCAAACAAATAAAATAATGTATTATTATGCAGAAAAAAATAAAACAGGGTGATGTGCCAGAGAGTGTCTGGATGGTCAGGGATGGCCTTCCTGAGGAGAGGACTTTTCATGTGAGACCTAAGTACCCCAAAGGAGCCATGGGAGATGTAGGAGAAGAGCTTTCTAGGAGGGAAGTGCAAGTGTGGAGGCTGGGCTTCAATGAGGGGAGGCAAATTGATACAGCAAGAGACCTGAGAGGCAGGAAGGGGCCAAATCCTACAGGTCCTTGAAGGCCGAAGGGAGTAGTTTGGATTTTAATCCAAGTATCACGGAAGCAATTCTAGGATTTTAAGCAGGAGAGTGACATGATTAAATTTAATGAAAATCACCATGGCTGCTGTGTGGAGAGTGGACCACGGGAAGCAAGGAGAGCAGGAGGAGGGCTTTGCAGCAGTCCAGGTAAATGGATGACTTGGCCGAGAGTAGCAGGTTTGCAGATGGAGACTAGAGGACGGGTTCAGGATCTATTTTGGAAGTCAAGTGACATGAACAATGAATATGATAGAAAGAGAAGAATCAAGGCTAATGCCTAGGTTTTTGTCTTGAGCAACTAGGCTGAAAACTCTTGTGTGTATTTATCTTTTCAACCAGACTATAAGGATTTTGAGAGCAGGCCCTTGTCTTAGACTTTCTGTATATCCTCCATATCCAAGCAATCCACAGAGCTATTGAAGACAATGCCTGTTGCTGATTTGGGCTTAAAGATGCAATGGCTCCTTCTGCAAGAAATCTCAGGAAGCAACTTGCCCTTTCGTTGATCAGGCAAGGAGGATCAAAATGGGCCAGACTTGATCTGGAGAGATGAGGCCTGGACCCTGCCCTCAATACACACAGCTTGGCAAATACAGGCCTGGGGATGGCCTCCGGACCGCTGGCTCAGTCTCTGCCCTATACCCCAGCTCACTTGGGATCTTCTGTGCATTTGGGGGTTCGGGGGTAAGGCTGAGATACCTGTTGCTCCCATCCATGCCTTCTTCTCCTGTAGGTGAGGATCAGCATGAGGAAGGCTGGGGAAGAGGGAGCACACTACTAAATGCAGCACTGGGGTTCACGCAGAAATAAGCTAAGGAAGGGGGCAAAGAGACATCACAAACCTCCAACCTCCTCCTGGAACCCAGCCCTCCCTCCAGCATCTCCAGGGAGGAGGAAGGGAATAAGAGTCCCCCACACTCCCTCTCCCATATCCAGAGCCTGTCATAAGGTCTGTGCCCCTTGATACCCCTCCGCACCAAATCCTAGGGACCCAGCCGTCTGGGTTCCAGACAAGATAGGTCTTGGCAGAGACAGGAACAAGGAAAGAAGAGAGCTCCAAAACACACATATGGGGGTAGGGGAAATGGGAGGTTATCATTTAGTGGGCACAGACTTTCAGTTTTGCAAGATGAAGAGTTCTGGAGATGGATGGTGGTGACGGTTGCACAGCGCTGTGAAACTTAATGCCACTGAACTATGCACTTAAAAATGGTTAAGATGCTAAATTTTATGTTACGTGTATTTTATCACAATTAAAAAAAAAAAAAAGAGGGGCCGGCCCAGTGACACAGCCGTTAAGTTGGCACATATCACTTCGGCGGCCCAGGGGTTCACCTGTTCAGATCCCAGGTGCAGACCTATGCACCCCTTGGCAAGCCATGCTGTGGCAGGTGCCCCACATATAAAGTAGAAGAAGATGGGCATGGATATTAGCTCAGGGCCAGTCTTCCTCAGCAAAAAGAGAAGGTTGGTGGCAGATGTTAGCTCAGGGCTAATCTTCCTCAAAAGAAAAAGGAAGGAAGGAAGGAAGGGAAGAAAAAGAAAGAAAGAAAGAAAGGAAAGAAAAGAAAGAAAGAAAGAAAGAAAGAAAGAATGAAAGAAAGAAAGAAAGAAAGAAAGAAAGAAACAGAGTTGTTCCTCTGCTGATGAGATCAAGCCCCAACTCCTCAGCAGGACATACAAGGCTTCTTGCCATTTGGCCCAAGGAACCTCCCATCTGCGCTCATTCCTTGTCAGAGAAAGAAAGAAAGAAAGAAAGAAAGAAAGAAGGAAAGAAAGAAGGAAGGAAGGAAGGGAGGGAGGGAGGGAGGGAGGGAGGGAGGGAGAGAGAGAGAAAGAGAGAGAGAAAAGGAAGGAAGGAAGGAAGGAAGGAAAGAAGGAAAGAAGGAAAGAAAGAAAGAAAGAAAGAAAGAAAGAAAGAAAGAAAGAAAGATAGTTGTTCCTCTGCTGATGAGATCAAGCCCCAACTCCTCAGCAGGACATACAAGGCTTCTTGCCATTTGGCCCAAGGAACCTCCCATGTGCGCTCATTCCTTGTCAGTGAAAGAAAGAAGGAAGGAAGGAAGGAAGGAAGGAAGGAAGGAAGGAAGGAAGGAAGGAAGAGAAAGAAAGAAACATAGTTGTTCCTCTGCTGATGAGATCAAGCCAAGAAAGAAAGAAAGAAAGAGAGAAAGAGAGAAAGAGAGAAAGAGAGAAAGAAAAGAAAGAAAGAAAGAAAGAAAGAAAGAAAAGAAACATAGTTGTTCCTCTGCTGATGAGATCAAGCCCCAACTCCTCAGCAGGACATACAAGGCTTCTTGCCATTTGGCCCAAGGAACCTCCCATCTGCGCTCATTCCTTGTCAGTTTGCCCCTGGTTTGGCCACATCACACACCCTTCCTCATCTTTTACACCCGTCAGGCTCAGACTTACACTTCAAAAACTATGCACAAGGTTAATGATATCAATGAAAGCTCAATATATCTCTCATATATACAGCACTTTCTATATGCCAACCACTGTGCTAGGTATTTGACCTACAATGATGTCATCAAATCCTCACAGCAAGCCCATGAGTAGGGAAACTTCCCCATTTTGTAGATGGGGAAACAAATCCATTTGTTCAAGCTCACATATCCAATAACTCACCTCTTTGATGATCCTTGGTAGAACTTGGAACCACATTCCCTAGCACTTCATAGAGATCTCTAGTCAAGCATTTTACATATCTACCTCTCTCAAGACTCTGGTTCTCCAGGGCCAGGATCAAGCCTTCTTCATCTTTGGAGTCCTTGTGGACTACCTAACACAGTGCTTGGCATACTGTCAGCAGCCAAGTAGTGTCAGTTGAAAGAAAGAAAAATAGAGGGATAGAGAGAGAAGGAGGGGAGGGAGGGAGGGAAGGAGGGAGGGGAAGAGAGAGGCAGTGCATAGGGTGGAGTGAGCGAGTAGAACAGGCCTGGAGGCTGCAGGGTAGGCTGCCAAGCTCCGGAAAGGTTTTTAGGGGTGTGGAAGAGGCAGGGGACATTGGGCAGGCATTGTAGGTGCCCTTGGTGGGGGCCTGGCAGAGTCTGTGTCAAAGCAGTCAGTCTTAATGAAAGAGTGTAGACAACTCTGGATGGTAATCAGGAATCTTGGAATCTAGGGCAGGCTGGAGAAAGAGAGGTTGGGTGCACGGTGTCCTGGACAGGGTAGGGTGGAAGGAGAAGAGAAAAGCCAGCCCCTGGGAGATTCCTCAGGGAAACAAGGTCAGGAAGTTGCCACTCAGAAAAACCCCCTTGGTGGGGACCCAGGTGTGTCCAAGCCCTTTAACCTTTCTCCCCATTAGTTCACACCGGAGGCCCCCACAGGACTGGCTTCTTTTCATTATTCAGGTCTTTGCTCAAGTGACACTGCCTCAGAGAGGTCTCCCCTGACCACTCAGCTAATGTTGCCCCTCGTCTATCACCCTCTATCATATTATAGGATTATATTCCCTTTATAGCACTAACCACTATGTGAAATGATCTTGCTTATTTTTCTTGTCTGTGGGCTGTCTGTCTAGCCACCCCTCCCTCCATACTGTGAGCTTCATTAGAGCAGAGAATGTGTCTATCCTTTTCATCAATGTATCCTCAGTGTCTAAAACAGTGCCTGGTACACAGTAGGCGTTCAGTAAGTATCAGTTGAATAGACATATCCAAGGGGCCCAGACTGACACTCAACATTGCCCAGGAACCAGAGTTGCATTTGGGCTCCTTGGCCACGCTGAGGACTCTCCTACAAAACATTCTGAGTAAGTGGATGTAGCTACAGACCCGGCAAACTCAAGACCGGGAGAGGCCAAGGAGGAGCCTAGGATTTGTGTCTTCTACCCTAGAGATTCCTGGAGCCTCCTGACCCTGGGGTCATTTAGGTCTTGGCTGATCACTGCAGAAGGGGACAGTATGTCCAATGAATAACTCTCCCTGTTGGAGGTTACTGGTTGGAAAATCATTGTAAGAAGCCAGGAGGTGAGGACACTGGGATCTCCATGCAATCTGGAGATAGGGCATGGGTTAACGGTTCTAGAGAGGGATGAGGATGGAGACATGGGGACTTAGGGCTGGAGCCCCACGGCTCCCTAGGGGGCCAAGAGCTTTGGGCTAGACATAAGGATTCCCAAGAGGGCTGAAGACTGGGAGCTTTGAGGTAGAGGCTTGGGGCTTGGGGCTTGGGCTTGAAGGTTTCCCAGTTAACTGGGGGCTGACGCAGGAGGGTACCCCGGGTAAGGGACTGGGGCACCCGGGTTCTCCAGAGGTCTAGGGGCTGAGGGCTGGGTCACCATATTCTTTGAGGGCAGAGATATTCCTGAATCTGTCTGTTCTTCCCAGCTGAGACCAGCAAAAGCCAGTTCTTGTTTAATAGATTAGACAGATCTGTCTGGGAATGCAGCAAGTGGCCCAAGGCTAGAAGAGAGAGAAGCAGCTTTCTTCCTGCGCTCTCCTCCCTTTTTCTTTCTCCCTGCTGCCTCCACCCCTTTTCCCAGCATCCCTGCCCCCAGCTCTCTATGACCCTCTTACGCCCCCTGCTGCTCCTTCCTTGAACCACAGTGGCCAGTCTAAAGCACAACAGAATTCCATCTCTTCCCTTCCCTGCTGACCTGGGCCCAGCCTCAGAGGGAGAAAACTAAAGTCCCAAGGGAGTAAATGCTGGGGGAAGGAGGTGGCCTCTTGGCAGCCAGAAAGTGACCTGTATCGTGTGTGTGTGTGTGTGTGTGTGTGTGTGTACGTGTGTCTGTGGGTGCTGTTGCTAGGATCTCAGCCTGAGAAGTCACCACTTTCTCAGGAGGACTTCCTTGACCCTCAAGACTGGGTTAAGGCCCCTGGTCTCCAAGCTTTCACAATTCCCTGACTGCTCCTTTATGGCGCTTATCAGCTTCCAATTACCCACTTATTTGTTTGTCTGTGATGAATGCCTGCCCCCCCCAGGGGACTGTGAGCACCAAGAGGGCAGGAACCAGGGTTGTTTCTGCTCATCAATACAACCCAGTGCTCGGCACAGTGCCTGGTACATCGCACACGCACAGTAAATATCTGTTGAATAAATGAACGAGTGACGGCCAAAGGGGGTTCTTAGGTGGGGATTTAATAGGTGGTGTCAGGGCCATTGCCTAGGCTCTGAGTCGGATGTCTTGGCTTCTGCTCAGGGCCCGGTCCATGTCCAGCCTCTGGCCTGGTGCCCAGAGGCTGTCCAAGCAAAAGGAAGCAGAAGAGTCCTCTCCTAGAGGGAGGCGGCATGGAGGGGGCATTAGGGCATTAGGGTGGCTTGGATCCAGAAGCTCCTCCCTCTTTTCCAGTTTTCCAACCTAAGTTTTTGAAAGCACTTCATCCTGCTGCCCCCATCCTCTCTCCTCTTGTGGTCTTTTCTTCTTCCCTCCCAGAGGTTTCCTTCCCCTAAAAATGTACCCCTTCCTATCTTTTTCCCTCTCTTTAGTTCTTTCCGACTGTGTACTGAAGAACTTGAACATCACTCTCTCTTACCTGGAAAAGTCCCCAGGAAGAGACACCCCTGCAGCTGGAGCCAGAGGTTGAGTAGGGAGCTAACGCCCAAGGGGAGCAGAACAAGGATCTCCTTCTTCGGCCCCTGGTTCAAGACCACCCTGGACACAGCCAGCTTCAGCTGAAGAGGGAGTCCCAAGACCAGGGGCGGATCCAGCCCTGGCCCCAACCTAGAAGACAGGACCACCTTCTGCAGAGTGTATGGGCCAGGGACATAAGTTGGGGAGGAAAGAATGAACCACATCACTCCTTGTGGCCCCACTCCTAGCTGCCTCAATTCTGCCTCTTAGCCATACTTCTGTCTACTGGTCGTTTCCACCACCTAAATGCTGCCTTAGTTTTCCTGGCTTGACCTTCTAAAACCACATCCACTCCAGGTAAATATACCATCTAAATAAAAGTCTTTTGTTTACTGTGGGCATCTTCAAGATGTGTCCCTGGCCCCCACCCCCACCCTTAAGCCTCCCTAATATTGACATTTTGGAGTCCCCTTTTCTCCCTCCTGCTCCCAGGCTCTACTGAATACAGGCAGAGCCCCCCTCTTACTTGATCTTGGAGGTGAAAGCTGAGCCAAGAAGGATTTTCTGGACTCCCAAGGGCAAGGAAGTGGCTGGAGCCTGCTGCCAGCTGGAGTCCCAGGTCCAGAGAGAAGGCCCAAGTCTCTGCATGAGGCTTGGGAATGTCTGGGGGCAGAAATGATCCTCCTGAGGCCTCAAGGCTGGGATTCATGGGGGGTGGGGCTAGTGGTGGAGGGAGACAGATGAAGGCAGACACGGAGCTGGCTATGGAGGGGGAAACAGCCTTTACCTTGGAAACTGAACTCTGCACAAGTCCCTGGAGGGAAGAATATCTAGGATGGGACTCTACAGCACAGGTTCTGAGGCTAGTGGGGGCAGACGCTGAGGTCTGGGCCTATCAGTCCAGCCAGTTATCCCAGAACAGGCAGCCATCCAAGGCAGGGACCACGTGGAGCCAGTGGCGGGAAGGAAAGATGCAGGGATGTCAGAATCAGGACATCTGACCCAGTCCCAACTTCCCCACTCTCAGTTTATTCCCCTCTGAGAGACACAAGCTTATGGTCTCCTCCGATGCGGCTCTCATCCCATCCCCTCTCCTCAAAAACGTGGACTTAGACCCCCATGGTCACCCAGCCAGCAATGCTTTACAAGCTTTGCTCATGGTTCCTGCCCCTCTGATGCAGTTACCGGCAACTGGAGGTTGGAGGCAGGGAGTAGCAGCCCCCCAGCGCAATCCTCATGATGGGCTGGGGTTTGTTGGCCAGAGGCCCAGAGACCTGTCCAGCACAGCACCTCCTCCCCACCCACGCCCAGCAGCACTGAGTCCCCAAGGATTTTCACATCCACCTGTAGAAGGAGGAGAGAGGCAGAACCAGAGGCCCCTGGGGCCTGCCTCCACCACTTTCTTCAGAGGCAGCCAAGTACAGCAGACAGAACACACATTTGAAGAGTCAGCTAGCATCCTTGGCTCACTCAGGACTTGTCACTTATATACTGCTGACTGAACCTCAGAATTCCCGTCTGAAAAAATAGGGACAAGAACAGTAGCTTCCTGGGGGTTTTGTGCAGATTAAATGAGATAACAATGGCAAAGGGATGCCCAGTAAACTTGGTACTGTTCCCCGTCTTCAGATATTTCTCCCCTCAGGACCAGATCTGGCTTTCCTGGTACCACCTCCCATCGTCCTGCCGGGGTCCAGCGCCCACTGTAAGCTGGGCTCGCTGACTGGGCACTTAGATCTCAGACCTGCCATCCCGAAGTCCCAGCCCAAACCAGTCATCCTTTGGGTTGGTATCACCATAGATAATCATTCCTTCTGGATCTCTAGTTCGAGACTCAAAGGAGGAGGAGGTTCTGGAAGGACACAGAAGAAGGACTGTGCATGGGGTGTGCCCTTTGAGGATAAATGTGGGGTGGGGGAAGGTGGAGTTCAGGGAGAGAGAAGGACAGGGAGACAGGGAAAAGAGAAGAGCTGATGGAGACGGGGTAAGGTCAGAGGACTAGGTCAAGGAGCTAGGTCAACCCTATACTATGTGATCTCAGAAAGGTTATAGGTCATGATGGTGACAGGCTTTTGTCCTGGGTCATTGCTGAGGTGCACAGCAGGAGGGTCCTGGGTCCTCTATCAGAAAGAGAAAATAAGCTGGAATAAGGATATGGTAGAGACCGACAGAGGGAGAGGCACTGCTACAAGGCCGGAGGAGGAAAGACAAGAAGAGGGCAGAGGCAAAGAGTAGTTCCTTTAAGCACAGACATGGCTGAGTACCCCATCTCGCTCCTGCAGCTCCTGCACCTGGGTAGGAAGAAATATCTCAGGGCCAGTCCCTGGGGGCTGTGAGGCAGTGGTAGCAGCAGCAGCAGCAGCAGCGGCAGCCACTGAGGCAATGTGGCCAGTGGGCCTCTGCTCTCCATAATCAGCCCTTGTCCTCTGTGTGGCTCAGACAACTCTGAGGAGAATGCATGGGGACAGGCAGCCTTGCACATGGTTGGTGGAGCGTTAAAGGTTGCCTTGAAGGGAGAAGGGGGGCAGGAGACAGAAGTACTGACCCTATGGCCCCTCTGAGGATAAACAGAGTGAGAGACAGAGTTCCTCCCCTATCATCCCCCACTGCCAGCAAGTTTATAAGCTGAGGGAAAGCACCACATTTCCCCTTTCCTCCTCTCCAGCCTGACCTGGCTCCTCCCAGCCTTCTGCCCACCTGGGAAGGCTGCCTTGACAGGCCTGAGGTCTAGAAACAGTCCTGCCCTGCTCCCCAAGTAGCATCCTCCATCAGGACTAGAACTGAAACATGGAATACCAAATACCTAGCTGGGTGACTGTGGGTAAGTCACTCCACCATTGTGCTTCAGTGTCCTTGTCTGTAAAATATGAAAAATAATACCTACTTTATGGGGTTACTGTGAATGAGGATTAAGATAATGTAGGCACAGTGCCTGGTATCTGCTCTGAGCTCCTCTCAGTATTTTCCCAGGCCTCTGAGGCTGGCCTCATAAGGAAGTATTGTCTCTGAGTGTGATTTAGTGGATACTAAAAAGAAACCAGTCCCCTACTCCCAATTATCTTCCCTTATCCATTTTACAAGGCCTAACCATTTACCAATAGAAATTCATCACCCTCTCCCTGACCCATTTTAAAATACAAATGCCCCAAGAGATGTAACACTTTGAACCACTCTAGAGCTGTAGGAAACAGCTCTCAGAGCTGGGGGTTTAGGGCTCCCTCAGGGTCTGGGCGGGCTTGAATGGGTGAGTGAGAGTGAAGGGTAGAGCAGATAATCACTGCATACTTCCGTTAAAGGACCAGGAGGTGACTTTTGAGCCGTGGGGCTTCTCCGATGGAGGCTAGGACCCCAGATGATAACAGCCAGGGAGCCTCAGCAGTTCAGCCTTGACCCTTGCCCAGCCGCTCAGTCACGAGACCCCGCGGTCCCCGGGCAGGGCTGGCGGCGGGGGCCAGGGGGACGGGGAGGCGGGGACGGGCCTACTCTGCAAGCTGATTGGCTGGCGGGTGCGCGCCTGCGGGAGCAGAATTTCGGGGCTACCAGGAGGTGGGGCAGCCCAGCCGGACCCCGAGAGCGTGTTCCGCTGCCCAGCCGGCGACTTCCCTACCACCCCGCTCCCTCGACTTTCCGGAATCCGAGTTTGTAGGCCCTTTAAAGGATCCCAGTTGCCCTTCGCCCGGTCCTGAGGAACGGAAGTGGGGGTTCTGGACTCCGGTCCCAGACGGTGGGGAATCGGGATGGCTTCCGTGCGGATCCGAGAGGCCAAGGAGGGAGACTGTGGAAGTATCCTGAGGCTGATTCGGGTGAAGGCTGCGGGCCGGAAATCAGGGTCTCAAAGGGGGTCAGAACGGCGCGGCCCGAGTCCGGGGGTGGGGGAAGGGAGAGGAAGAGGTGGGAGCAGGGGGAGGGGCACATCCTGGGGTCCTGCTCCGGGAGCAGCGGGGCCCTCCTAGCCTGATCTAGCCTCTGTCCCAACGCCGTAGGAGCTAGCTGAATACGAGAAACTCTCGGATCAGGTGAAGATCACTGAAGAAGGTGAGGCCCAGCACCTGGGTCCTGACGGAGGCTGGGGAGGAAGTGAGGGATGGGCACCCCAGGCAGTAGCTCCAGGCTGGGCACATACCCAGGCCCTCTTTCTCTCTCTCTTTGTCACAACTCCGATCTCTGCAGCCCTGAGAGCAGATGGCTTTGGAGAGAATCCTTTCTATCACTGTTTGGTAGCAGAAATTCTTCCCGCCCCCGGGCAGCCACAGGGTAAGAACATTGGGACTCAGAGGTCCCCTCTCCAGTCTGCCTCAGAAGTCTCTCCGCCAGGTGCCCAGCAGCCTGACCCCTCTTTTTTCTCTCTCTCTCAGGGCCCTGTGTGGTGGGCTATGGACTATATTATTTCATCTACAGCACGTGGACGGGACGCAACGTTTATCTGGAAGACATCTATGTGAAGCCGGAGTATCGGGGTACTGAGAAGAGGCTGAGGCTGGGGTGGGAGAAAAGCAACACATAGACCGGACTGTCATCCCCTGCGTCCTAATCCCAGCCTATGGGCTTTTCTGATCCCCTTCAACTCAAACACTTCTTCTTTTGGCCTTTTTCTCCCCACAACAGGTCAGGGGATTGGTTCCAAAATCATCAGAAAGGTGGCCGAGGTGAGGAGAGGGATGGGACTACAAGCTAGGGCCTGGAAAAACAATGGCATGGTGTGTGGGAGGCTCACCCAGGTTGAATGGAGGATGAGAAAGCTGCTTCCTTTTGGACCCCTGGAAAATGAGTGATGTCTTCCACAGGTGGCCCTGGATAAGGGCTGCTCCCAGTTCCGCTTGGCAGTCCTGGACTGGAACAAGAGGGCCATGGACTTGTACAAGGCCCTAGGAGCCCAAGATCTGACTGAAGCTGAGGGCTGGCACTCCTTTCGCTTTGAAAGGGAGGCCATGAGGGAGTTGGCAGGAAAGTGACGCCATTCCTTGGGGATCTTTCTCTATTTGAGCTTCTCCTTCCCCACCAGCTCAAGCACTCCTCAGAGATTGTTTCCACTGACCAAGGCCTCCCTGAAGAAAGGAGGGTTGGGGTGAATATTGCCGAAGTAAGAAAAAAGCAAAATTAGAGAGGCCCTTCTACCTCCTTGTTGAGGGTGAAAAATAAATGAGAATCACTATATCCTGATGTGGTGTTGGGTAGAGGAGTTGATGACACGGTAAGCTGCAGCCACTTTAGGATCCTTCCTCGGTTTTGTGGTCAGTGGATGTTGCTTCTAGGGGCAAAGGTGGGCCCAAGATGACTTTCGCCTTCATTGGGCCAGAGTCTTGGCTCTGGCCTGTGGAATATAGAGAAAAGAAGAGCAAGGGGCCAGCTTGGCCCATCAGGCTTGTTGGTCACATTTGGGACCCAGAAAAAGGCCTCCAATGTCTGCGCTAAGCATTTAGGATCCCAAGAATGAGGCAGGCCCACCGACTCAACAGATGGAGCAGGCTGCCACCTGGTGGTGGCATTTCAGGTGCACTGGAAAGGACCACTTGCCCCAACTTTTAAAAATCAGCTCAGCTAGCCAGTGCTTTTTCTTTCCCAGAAGTCACAAAGCCTTTATTTTCTGTTCAGCAAAACCAAAGCAGACTTTTAGGATACAAGGAGACGAGAGGGGAAACAGGTTCATTTTCCACTTTCATAATATTTTATTACACAAATAGCGTGGGTTTGTTCTAGAAAAATTGGAATGGACATATAAAATAAAAATCCGTAGCCTTACTTACATACCTAACATTAGCCCTTTAGTATTGATTCTTCAGATGTTTTCAGTGTACATACATACACCTAATTAGTTAAGTTAGTAGGGATTTATGGGATCACGCTCTTTTGCAACCTGTTCTTTCATTTAACTATATATCAGAAATCTCTTCCCAGACTATTAAACATACATCTATCACTTTCAGTGGTGGCATATTCTTTTGTGGATGAACCATTGGGTAAATGGTCATAATTTAGACACCAAAAGGGGATGAGCAGGTAATATAAATATGTAAATTGTAAGAAAAAGGATATATGGAAGCCTAGAGAGCTGAAGATCCGTTTTAAAATTCAAATAAGAAATATGATTCAGCCAAACAGAACACTTCAGGGGCCCAAATTCTTCCAGAGTGGTGCCAATTTTTGGCCCTTAAAATCAGCTCACTGCAGGTGGGCCTTTAGGACAATCTTGATCAAGAGATAATGAAGAGGGCTGGCCCCATGGCGTAGTGGTTAAGTTCATGCACTCTGCTTTGGCAGCCCAGGGTTCGTGAGTTCAAATCCCAGGCACAGACCTACACACTGCTTGTCAAGCCATGCTGTGCTTGCATCCCACATACAAAATAGAGGAAGATTGGCACAGATGTTAGCTCAGGGCCAATCTTCCTCACCAAAAAAAAAAAAAGAGAGAGAAAGATGAAGAAGATAATGAAGATGGTCAGCCCCTTCCACCGATGAGAGCCAGAAGAATGCAGTCTCCTATGCTTGGCTCATCTCAGTCTGGCAAGGATTAATATCATTTAAACATGATGTTTGTCTAGTGATGGGACTTTTCAAACTTAAATTTTAATGCAGAATAGATTATTTCTGGAAGGATGCACAAACAAGAGTGTAGTCGACCCTGGGGAGAGAAATTGGGTGGCCAGGGGACAGAAGGAAGGAAACTGCTTTTCCCACATACCAGTTTGGACCTGCTGAATTTTGTTTCGTGCCCATGTATTACTTAAAAAAAAAATGAATAAATGAAACTTTCAGGGGCCATAGCATAGTGGTTAAGTTCAGCGTACTCCGCTTTGGCAACCTGGGATGACAGGTTTGGATCTTGGGCATGGGCCTACCCCTACTCATCAGCCATGCTGTGGCATCAGCTCACATATAAAGTGGAGGAATATTGACACAGATGTTAGGTCAGGGCTAATATTCCTCAACCAAAAAAAAAAAGAGGAAGATTGGCAGCAAATGTTAGCTCAGGGCTAATCTTCCTCAGCAAAAAATAAATAAATAAAACGTAAACATTAATGCAGAAGGAAAGGTATAGACTAGGAAACTTAGTATTTCCAGAATTTATCGTGCCCCTATCTTGATTTGTCTTTGCTTTTCAGAGTTTACACTTTTTGTGTTGTCTCTCACTTTGGGCCCACATCTCACCAGTTTTCGCAGGAGGTCTTTGCACTCCAGCATCACTCCGTTTTACAGCCTCCCCTGGCCTCCTGCCACTCATCACTTCATTAGCCTCCTATAAGGTGACTCTGTTAGATGTTGGGGCTGATTGGTGTGGGGTGATAAGGACCCAGGTTCCGGACATTGGAGGGAAAACAGAGGAAAGGGCATTTAGGGTGAAGGCTTTTTAAGGGGAGAATAGAGAAAACAATTAAAGTAGCTCTCAAATTTGCCCACATCTGTATCCTCGCTTCCACTACCACCTCTCTTTGAAAATTGCCATGGCCTCCTAACTGGTCTCCCAGCATCCTTCTGTAACTGCCCCTCTTCATGGGGTGGTTCTTTTTTTTATCATAGGTATACATTATATTATTTAAAGAGTCAAAAAATTCTATAAGGCTTATATAAAAAACAGTAGTCTTCCAACTCCCCACCCTCTTCAAAGACAATCACTTTCAACTGAGTTTTTAAATTGTGTTATTTTTTGTTTTGTATTCACCTTCATATGTCAAACTCAAAATAGCATGCAAATGTTGCTACTTCTTGATGTTTCTGTTTTAGGCACTAGCTATTGACTTCCCACTGCTGGAGATGAGAAGCTAGCTCTCTTTTCCAACCATCCCATTCCCACTTTCCATTCTCCCCTCCTTCCAATATTATATCATGAATCTGGTTGGATCTGTGTTCAGTGTTTACATTATTATAATTGTGCAAATGATCTTCACAGTTGAGTCATGTAGATAGTTCCATTGTTTTTAGTTCCCGCATAGTTTTTGTTTCCCCTGGAACTAATACTTGCCTCTTCTTGGTCTGCTTAGTTTTCTGTATACTCTGATTCATCCCCAAATTCTCCTTAGTTGTGTTAATTTCTTCTAAGGATATACAGACACCAAACAAATAAGGAATTTGATCTATTTCATTTGAAGGACTTTCTCCCAGAACCGTAGATCTTTTCTAGCACAGAGGCTGCTCTTTACGTTGGAATCTCCCTTTAAATCCATCCTGGGGACTCCCTTTGCCTCTCTTGTGTTGATACCTGTTTCCTAGAACCTATGTTTTCATCTTTCTCAGTTTATCTTGATGGAGCTTCTTGAGAAAGGGTGCGTGGGAGGTAAATTGCTGGGATTTTATAAGTCTGAAAATGTCTTTGTTCTACTCTTGTATTAATTGACAGTATGGCTGGGTATTAAATACTAGGTTGGAAATAATTTACTCTGAAAAAAAATTTTTTTTAAAGATTTTATTTTTCTCCCCAAAGCCCCTGGTACACAGCTGCATATTTTTAGTTGTGGGTCCTTCTAGTTGTGGCACATGGGATGCCACCTCAGCATGTCTTGATGAGCGGTGCCCTGTCCGTGCCCAGGATTTGAACCCTCAAAACCTTGGGCTGCAGAAGCAGAGTGCATGAACTTAACCACTCAGCCACAGGGCTGGCCCACACTGTGAGAATTTTGAAGGCATTTCTCCATTGTCTTCAAGCTTCTGGTGTTGCTTTTAAGAAGCCTGAGACCATTCTTATTCTGGATCCTTTGTATGAAGCCTATTGTTATTTTCCTTCCCTCTTCCCCCAACCACAGCTTTTAGGATCTTTTCTTTATCCTAGCGTTCTAATATTTTACATGGAACTGTCTTAGTGTTGTCTCAGTGGGTCTTCTCAATCTGGAAACTCATGTTCTTCAGTTATGGAAAACATTTTTGGATTGTTATTTTCTGGATGAGTTCCTCCCGTCCATTATCTCTGTTTTCTCTTTCTGGAACACTTGTTATTCAGATGTTGAATTCCATGGACTAGTCATTTAATTCTCTTTCCTTTTTCCTATCTTCTTCATTTTTTGCCTTACTTTCTGGGAGATTTCTTTTCTTCTTTTGTTCTTTTGCTGATAAAGATTTGCCCTGAGGTAACATCTGTGCCAATCTTCCTCTATTTTTTTCCTTTTTTTTTTTTAGTATGTGGGCTGCCAGTACAGCATGGCCACTAACAGAATGGTGTAGGTCCACGTCCAGGAAACGAACCCAGGCCGCCCAAGTGGAATGTGCTGAACTTAATCACTAGGCCACGAGTGCTGGCCCTCTGGGAGATTTCTGTTTTGTTTTTTTTTTTTTAAGATTTTATTTTTTTCCTTTTTCTACGCAAAGCCCCCCAGTACATAGTTGTATATTCTTAGTTGTGGGTCCTTCTAGTTGTGGCATGTGGGACGCTGCCTCAGCGTGGTCTGATGAGCGGTGCCATGTCCGCGCCCAGGATTCGAACTGACGAAACACTGGGCCGCCTGCAGCAGAGCGCGCGAACTTAACCACTCGGCCACGGGGCCAGGCCCAGATTTCTGTTTTTTAAAAGATTTTATTTTTCCTTTTTCTCCCCAAAACCCCCTGGTACATAGTTGTATATTTTTACTTGTGAGTCCTTCTAGTTGTGGCATGTGGGATGCTGCCTCAGCATGGCTTGATGAGCAGTGCCATGTCCGTGCCCAGGATTGGAACCGGTGAAACCCTGGGCCGCCAAAGCAGAATGCACAAACTTAACCACTCAGCCACGGGGCCGGCCCCTCTGGGAGATTTCTTTAATTTTATTTTCCAACCTTTCTATTGAATTTTTATTTCTACTTTCATGTTTTTCATTTCTAAGAGCTCTCTGCATTTTTTTAAACATTCCATTTTTGTTTCATGGATATAGGTTCTTTTCTTGTTTCTCTGAGGATATTCATGACAGTTTTTAAAAAAATGTTTTTCTTGGGGCCGGCCCGGTGGCGCAGCACTTAAAGTGCACGCCATGACATGGTAGGCGCCCCACATATAAAGTAGAGGAAGATGGGCACGGATGTGAGCTCAGGGCCAGTCTTCCTCAGCGAAAAGAGGAGGATTGGCAGCAGTTAGCTCAGGGCTAATCTTCCTCAAAAGAGAAGAAAAAGAAAAAAAGAAGAAAAGTGTTTTTCTCCTTGCATAGTCTTTATTTCTTCTAAGCTATTTTTTTTCTTTCTCTATTTGTTTTGGGTTCTGTCTTTCATTTTAGAGGCCTCCCTCAAATGTCAAGTAATCCTCAGCTGTCCACTTATATTTAAGCTTGGGACACTAGAGTACTGATTGGAAACTGTGTGTGTATATTGTGGGAGGTAGGGAGGCTTGTCGACCGTGAACTGTACTATAGGGTGAGCCACTAAGCTATTTCAGTGAGGAGCCTCTGATTTCAGTATCGTTAGGTCTGATCAGATTTCCTAGAGAAAACCCTTCCAAACTCCTGCGTGGAGGATATAAGCCTCGCTGTAGATATTCTCAGAGCTGGTTGAAGAAGTCTGGGGGAAGTCTCAACATTCAATACGTAAACTTTCACTTCATCCTCATTTTCAGTATCTATCTAACCATCCACCTATCCATCCTTCTATCTTCCTCCCAATCTCTCTCTCTATTTAGAAGTACTAAGGCAAGCTGGGGCATTCTATCACACATCCTTTATACTCAGCTAGAGTAATTTTACTAAAAGGCAAGTCTGCTGAAGATCCTGTAATGGCTCCCTCTGCTCTCAACAGAAAGTCCAAGGTTCTGAATATGTTTTAACCCCTCCAAGCTCTGGCCCAAACCAACCCTTCCGGCCATGTTTCCTCTCCAAGTGGGTTCTAACCACGTTAGACTTTTATCAGTACCTTACATGCACTGTACCCTCCCCTCCGGACCGTCTGCACACGCTATTCTCCTGTCTGAAATGCTGTTTCCCTTTTCCCACTCCCATCCTTTGCCTGAATGAACAATGACTAGAGCAGATGAGGAAGA